AATTGTCTTTGTGTTTTCTTTATAAAATGCATGTGCTTGCATTCCAAAGGCATATTTTACAGTCTTCTGAAATAAGGAATAACTCCCCCTGTTTATTGCATGTATTTTGATGGCAAGAATATGCATGTTTTCAAAAACATATTATTCATGAGGTAACTATGAGTTAAGAGCATGTCCGGTGAGGCACAGAATTTGTTGAGGACACAAGGGAAATCTTTGAAGTACCGGTATACAATTACAACAGAACAGCTTTACGCTGTTTTCCCATTTAAATACGTTTCACTGCAGGAAAAGTAGCCTTTCTATACTCGCAAATAAACAAAACAACTGTATTTTGGGGTGATTACTTCCAGTGTATTTCAATAGGCTTAAAAGACTTTACCTAAAGGCATTTTAACTTCTTTTAATTAGATGTTTTAATCTTGCACCATTTACATATCTGTACCTCAGTCATGGTGAGTTTTGACCAAGCGATATTGTTTCATTTGATAGAGCAGTGTCCTGGTATTGGGCACTGTTGGTCAATCGACTTATCGTCTATTAACCCAAGAGTGATTTGCTTCTGGAAAGTTCTTTTCTACTGTGGTGAATATCTTCTCAGGGTGTTGGCCCATTATTGTGTCTTGCTTTACCAAGATGGCCAGTGGGAGACTGGGGTTTTCGTGTACAGGACCAGAGCGTTCAATACAAAGCATGGTTCATGGAGTCCCATCTTTCATTAGTCAACAATACCTTAGTTTTGGGGAAAAGGGCGATTTTCTTATCATTTTATTATTTTTTATTATTTTCCTATACAGAGAAAAAAATTCATTCGATAAGAACTCTGTGGTTTCTACTTATTTATCCCTGTTTCAAGGGTTGAAATAAAAACTTGTCACGTTTATCTTGTCACAAAACATACCATGAAATACCAACACTATGTGTATATTGCCATGGTTTAGGTGTCTGGCGTACCGGGATTGTAACAGGATCTTCCTACCTTTCTCAGAATCAGTGTCGTCATGATGAGAAAAAATCGATTCGTGGGCAAGTTCTCTGACATTCTTTTACGCCTTCTCGAGGAAAATGTTGAGAATGTTAACCAAGAGGTCGACCAGAAAATGGCAACAAGTCACCTAAGTATGCACTGAACGAGAAAATTAATTTTCTGATTTGGACTGAAAATGTCTTAATGTTTGGTTCATTGAAAATGTTTGACTAAAATACCATCAGTTCATGGAAAGTAAATGTGTGACCCACGCGGATGGCAATGAACGTAGAAATCAGGTGTTCTTGTTTACGTAATGCAGACGAGAGCTGTAGGTGTTTTAAATTTGCGTCGAGATAGGGTGTGTAAAAATTGAAAGCATATGTCTCATTGATAGGAATGAGCAACCACAATGAAATGCTTATTTTGTGCCTATAGGTAAAAGAAATATTTTAAATGCTAGAAACATCTTTTTAACACTATAATAACTCCATAGGATGGGCGAGCTCAGCAAATGTTCCCCGGTAGGCAGGGGATTTATGTTAGAATTAATTAGAAGTAATGATAATGCTCTCTTGAGTTAAGTGAAAAATCACTTAGCTAAGTTAAAGAGAATAATCACATACCGCATGATCCAGATGCAAGCGGGACACATTCACAAGCAGACAGACACGAACACTGCCACACACGCATACAAGTGTAGGCTGACACTCACAAATGCACGTCTCAGTACATATACATATACCTCATAGCAACACCATGGATGATTCAGCTTTTTTTCAGTTGTTTTTCTCGAAGGACTTTGAACCGCAAATTCGACAAAGAGTTGTTCGAATCACGTTTATCACCATAATGTAGTCGAGCCATGTATAATTGCAGTGGTAAATGTAGGCCCTGTGTATTGCTGACATTAAAAGGTTTTTTAAGGGTGCTGTTCATACCATCAGTGACAAGAATATGTGTTTCTGAATGACGATTAGTTTTGGCCAAATCACCCTAATGCACTTAATGAGTTGCTAGATTAAATTCAAGAGCTTAATATAATGATTGAGTTTGGTATTCCGATCCCTCTTTTTATGTTTCCTCTTCGTTGTGTCAAATGTCCTGTGCTTCCATAGCGATTTATGATTATGCATTTATTAGTAACAGTCAACGCGCCATTCTTTTGACATATATTTCCTCCCCCTCGCTTCTGCCAGAGTGCAACTTATTTCAATATAATCTTTAAGGGGAATACTTGGTCAAACATCTAAGCTTTAATCAATGGACAATTCAAACCTTGGCAAAGTGGGCGAAATTGAAATTTAGTAGTTGGCACGATATGGAGTCTTTGGGTGGAGTTACACCAAACCCAGCTTGATCGAAATGACTTCGGGTCAAATCCGATGTCATATTTCTAAGTGTACAGTGTAGTTGTCCTGTCATAAAATATTTCCCTTACCCCCCCCACTCATCCCCCCATGCAGGATAATGTTTGATCCCATGGGCTTTCTCCCAGAAGCCGCAGCTAAGCCCCATGAAATTTATCATAGATTGATCTCCCCGACCCTTGTGTGAACTGCCTTTTGCTCTGTTGGGGCAATAACTCATTATCGGCGATAACTGTTGACCAGGTACTCGAGAAAAACAATTGCAAACCTTGAGTCACGAACTGTTAAGTGCTAGAAAAGTAATTTCCAGTTCTAATACAAACGCATTTGAATTTTAGTGTTCCTGGAACAGCTTCCTTCAGCCTTTTAGAAGATGATTTTTCAGCAAAAACAGAATAATTGTTGTTCTTTTTTAATTTCGTGATTGATAAGTTGGCGAGGTTAACAAACAATTTGCTTAATAGGAATCGAGCTCAGACTTCGTCTAGGGACAAAAACAAATAATCGAGTTAGCTGGAATGTAAATCATTGACAACGGACAGAGAGTAGTAAATAGACGCAGTGACACTTTCTTTGGTGCAGCCTTGCACATCCCGTGTCGTTTGTAGTCGACGGTTGGGCAGCAGAGCTTGATGCTTATTTTCCTTTTACTCGGAAGGAATCAAAAAGAATGCAAGATGACTATACTTGGAACTTGTCTTTATCCCCAATTCTTTTAAGAAATACTCGACCCCTAAACGATCGAATGTTCCCTTCATTCACGGAAATTCCGAAACTCACACTTTTCATCGAAATCTGTGAGATTCTCAGATAATCAGTTCTCTAATTTTTTTCAATGCATTCTCAAGGTCCATAATGTGTGATGCCATCGCCGTGCGATGAAATTGTCCGTACGATTTTTTTTATTTTGAAATCGTAAGAAGCTACGGGCTACGCCGAGTACGTCTACATTACATGGCCTTAAATCCGTGGGATTTCGCACGGCCACCGTCTACCTCCTCTCAGACGCCGTACGAAAAGGGTTTTACGGTCAGTATACGTGCACCGTACGGGCATCGCATTTCAAATGTAATCTAGGCTTTAGTATTAGTTTCATCTAATATAAGTTACAGTGTTTGTCTTTTTGGCATTGAATATTTTTATATTTTTGTCAAAAGCCAACCGATGTTTTTTATCAATTCTAAACGGGTCCCAGTTAAGCAGATGCTGGGACTGACATATACGTAGCCGGGGCTATGATATATGTACGTGGGTTTAACATGGAATCCGGTCTCTGATTATTTTCTGCACTATCTTCATCATGTCCGATGGCAAGTGTATCGACAAAGGGTTGGCGCTTCTTTTTTGAGAAAAAAAAACAGACTCGGTTTTTTCAGCAACTTTATGTCAGCAAAAAGATAATCAAAAGGCGCGTTGGTGCGTTTTCATTTGTCTTGTTTCACGTTTACTTGGCAGTTTATGAATGTCAGGGCTGGCTCCGATCATTCACCCTTCCGTTAATTTGCAGTTCAAATATTAATACCTAAAAGTACTACACAGTAACCCGCTGTGGCTCTGTTCATTCTCCCAATAGCTAACAGTATTTGATTCAAATAATCAAAATGATCTTCGTGATATGCATTCATGACTCCTATAAATAAATTTGCTTTCATCTTTTCCTACAACCACACCAGATCCGAAAACAAATAAGGAAGCAATACTCACTTGTATTAGCTATAGATACGTTCGGAAAATAACACGAAACGACGTTTCCTTATAAACGCTCACGTACGGAAATGCACCGTGATACTACAATGCTCTTGGAGAGTTCGTAGCAGCGTTAGCCTATTCAGAAATTAACCCCTAGAGATTTTACCTATGTTGTCAATGTTATCTCTCTTTATACTGACAGTAATATCCTGAATAGAAGATTAACAGGTCCTCCCTCATCGCAACATCTACTACAATTAATCCCTGTCTTGGGAACTGTTACGGACATCCATGTCCGTAACATGATGACCATCGGAGTTATTGAAGAAAAACGCACGAGTTTTCCTGCTTCACCGTCAGCCCTGTTGCGCTATACCATACTCTATGTGCAGCCGTGAATTATTTCACACTAAGTATGCTAATGAGACAATAGTGCATTCTTTCACTTCGCTGTGCTGCGATTTACATCAGTTATGGTCGATGTATGACAAAAAAATACAGAACGTCCACGATATCTGTGATTTTAAATCTGTAATTTCAGTTTAAACGAGTAATATGAAATATCTTGAATTTGATAATAATCTCATATTACAATTTACGTAGCACGGTGTACTCTAAAATGGATATTAAATTAGACAAAATATTGTATTTAATATACAGGAGTCAAGGGAAGTGTTCTTGCTTTACAATGTTTTACGTTTGGTCTTCAGTTTATCTTGTTTGGTGTTGCTCACACTACTTCTAAAAGCATGTACGTGAATAGAAATGTTCTAAGATGTTGGTGCATTATGAATTTTAACGTCTGTATGGTATGGTTATACGCAGATTAACTGTGATGTAATGTGAACACCACATTGTTTGTAATGCTCGACAGAGGGTCCTTTCCTATAAAAGGTGAGTAAACTGATAAGTTCCGATATATGGAAAATTAATCAATTTCAGTATTGTCCTTACGTCTTATCTTATATTTCCAGAGCCTTTACCGGAATTTGTCTGATCGCCACTTTGCAGACAGCGCTCAATCGGCTCAAAGTCAACGTCCCACTATCTAAACATCAGGCGCCATCTACCGATGTTTTATTACCTGCAGTAGGGCGCAGCGACATCAATCGGCGGCCGGGCTACAAATAAGCCAACTTGATTGACCAAAGAGACAGATATTTCACAGTTATTATTAGAAAGTCTTAAAAAGACACGTTGTTTTTCCCACACAAAGTTCCAGACATACTTTATTGAACGAACATAATGTATTAGTTATGGTGTATTTTGATGGCTCTCGCACTAGATGTTTCGTCTTTATCATTAACGTAAATCTGATTTGACATTTGAATTCACATCACTAGTATCGTACAAATTCAAGAAAATGATATCTGATATCAAAATCCACTAGCCTTGAGTCCAAAGAGAATTGATACCATCGGATGATTTATGATTGCAATCATTTACTCGCAAGTACAAGACCGATAAAACATTTGGATAGCTTTGATGGAGTTTTATCGGACATTCATTTACATCCAGACTCATCAGTAAAACCAAGCCACCTTTCAATCGGAGATAATTATATTTTGTGTATCAAATCAATGGTTAGGATTTTTATAAATAGACACTTGATAACGTCCTATAATACGAACATAATATACTCGTAGGTGATAAAGTTGCAAGGTACTTTGTTCCATTAGTAATAGCTTGATGCACACAGGGTTACAACAACAAGTTTTTTCTTAAGAATCCAAGGCGCAATGCTACTGTTTTTTCTGTTTGAGGCGATTCGCTTTACAAGCCACGTTTTGTGAGTTTGTTTTGATGTTGTGAAGTTAAAAGTAAACGAAATGTAATGCAAATTGTCTACATGTATATGTGTACACGTGTAACAAAGTGCACTGCACAAAAATCTTTACCCAGCATATCCAAGGTTGAAAACGAGTGAGTTACACATTTCTGACCATGTCCGCAAAATGCCCTAGTTGATGGCGTGTTCCATTATTGGTACCTACCACACAAGGGGCATCGTTTCTTTTCACTGTCCAATAGCTTAACTCGAGAAAATTGCTAAGATTTGAGACTCATAAAACTTGTCATGCAAACCATGAAATAAATCAGTCAGGGAAATCAATTTGTCCTTTGTCGATTTGCACAAGAAGTTACCGTACATGTGCACTGTTTATCTGCCCTTTAATATGAAAAGCAAATTGTTTACCAAAGAGGCGCATCTTCGTGCACATAATGTGGTTGGGTGTGGGGTGGGGGTGGGGGGGGGGCGGAAACTACAGCACAAATCTCCAAAATAGCACAGTTATCAACTATTAGCATCACAAACAGTTTGACCCCTTCGTCTGACGCTTTTAGAACGTGCATACCCGGTTGAAGAAAAAAAATACACTGTGATTTTCAATACCAAATGTATAACAGGGGATGAAATATCTATATGATCTGAGACTCCTAAGGTAAGTCTAGAAATAAAGAAAGAGTTAACCTTTTTCCGTCCATAAACTGCTCTTCTTTTTGGCATAAGAAATAGTACATGCACACCCAACTGTAGTGCTTCGCTAAAACAAGAAATGCTGACGGAACGGAAATATTTCAAATGCAACTGGGATTAATGTAGCAATGGACCTTATATCATGTTATTTATGTTGGGTATACATTAAACTCACTCTACATCGCCCATGTATCTTTTTTTTTATTTTGCATCATGCGACATAATTGAAGTGTGCTGAGTTATGAATGTCTATATACTTTAGACATAACATAAAATTATCATAATTGTACTAGTACATGTAAAACATAAGGCACGACGGCTGGTAACGGATCAGGCCTTGTCATGTTCTGTCTACATTGAGACATAATTAATAGTTAATATTGTTCTCTCATTTTGTGCCAAAGAATATGTAACGTGCTGCTTATGAAAATTAAAATAATTGAATTGTTATCTTAATATTGTAAATGACAGTTCTGATAAAAAGTACGCTGTAATGATATATTTATTAAATATACCGTTTCTGGTGTTTTATCAATATGTTGTAAGACTGTTGTGAGTTGTTGCCGAATAAATGAAAACATAGACCAAGTTCAGTTTTGAAAAATAATCTGGCAATTTCAACTGACTCTTCTATATTTTCTAATGATTTGACAATTTCCACTGCCTCTTCATACTTCTTATATTACATTATATTTTAAGTGGCCGTTTGTGAGTCTTTCATAAACATTTTAGCAATTATGTATTAAGTTCTTAACCAACAGAAAAGAAGGAAAAGATAAAAGAAGCTTGAAGTAACAATTCTTTATCTTACTTTTTAAAGAAAGTCAAATGAACGGTTGTATAGAATTGCATTGTCTTAATAATGATATTATTTTGAAATGATGTAAGCAAAGAGATTTAAGACGTCTAAATAACGATCCATTCTCTTCTTGTGTTCTAAGTTTCCACTACTTATCTTATTTATTCATTAATTTATCTTTTTATTTATGTTCCCTGAACTTATTTCAATCGATTAAAGTTTACAACCGGTATAGTTAGCTTTGATGATGCCTTAATTGATGGAGTGTAAGTAAGAGACGCATCTAAATCACCCTTCCTTTCTCCTTTTCTCTATCTCGTGCGTGTTTGAAACGTAATCAAATAAATATAATAGTTAAAAAGTTTTCATTTATGATAGGTTCACATATTTGATTTACCTGTTGACTGTTTCGTCTGTTCACTCTGATAAACTTCATCACAACTGAATTGCCTGTTCTTGCTCAGTCTTGTTGATGACTTGTTATTCTCTCTCGCCCCAGCCCCCCCAGGGTGGGTTTTAGAATATCATCATACACACGGAACAGTCTGTGTGCTCCATCTCTGTTTGGATACCTTTGTTTTCATTTCAATCTGAAGTTTCCCCTTTTTATTGTCCATTTTGGGTAGTTACACTGTTTCAGTGCCTGTGTTGTATGTTGTTTTCTTCTTCGATTCTGTCCTCTGGTTCAGTCACTAGTTCATAGCAACGATCTAACAGTGACTAAATTACTGCCAATTTGTGTGCTACTGGATGGTGGGATGTACTAGTTTGTGTGCTTGGTTTTCTATACACATTGGTAATTATGGGCCCGCCTGCTTTGACTATAATATCTATATCCAAGAAAGCTATGTGGTTGTCCTTATTTACTTCGTCGGCGAGTTTTATACTGTTGGAGAGGCCAATACTATTCATGTGCTGGTTCAGTGTTGCTAGAGTATCCTTCAGTATTATCGGCAGGATGTCATCCACATATCTAAGGAACTGACAAGTCATCATCAAGACTGAGGTGATTACCTGTTCACCTCCACCAGAACAGGTCATTCAGTTGTGACCAATTGCAAGTCTGTCAGAGTGAACAGACAAAACAGTCTAAATCAAATATGTGGATCTATCGTGAATAAAACTTTTTAACGATAAAAAAGAGAGAGATCCAATGAAACTATTTTCAGACATTTATAAATGCAACCAAATTGCCCATAGACGTGATTTAAAAGATGGCGTAAATTGGACGTGTATTGTACACTGAAATGTGTATTCAATCGATTGTGATAGAGACGATTGCCAGATTGTGCTATATTTCATATTATATAGTGGCAGCTAAGTGATTGTGAAATACTGTATATATATATATAGGAATTGCTACAGCGCAGGCGACCTAAAATAAGATCTCCTCATTGCATTTGCGAATAAAGGAAATACGGTTATGGTTCCTAACCAACATCCTTTATTGTAAAATAGGCCGAATTTATTTGATACATGTGTAGTGAAATGTTTGAGTTTAAATTAAGAACAAGCTTCGACTAAAATGTGCTGTTTTGTTGCGGACCTGATCCCAGAGAAATTTTTGTCACGTGATATGGAACATTGTTGACTAAGCATTGTATCAGGGTTTGTTGCCTTTAGAACATGTTTCCTTGTGTTATGTTAACGACTCACCTACAGTGTAACAAACAGTGTTTTCAGAAATCATACCAGCCGGGTTTTCTGGCACGAGAACTAGTCCCTTTTTACTGGAAAATTTCAAACATCAGATAATGAAATCGAAATCTTAATGAATGCCTCAATTTGAAAATATTGATGCAGCTAATAGGACATGTTGACTAGATGCTTCAAAATGGTCATAAAGCGGCAATTCGTATGTTTTTGTTCCTCTGGACTTTCCGAAAATTTAAATTACCAATACGACGAGTGTCACAGGCTTCTCTGCAAGTGGGTTTTACTTCGTCTCTTACAATTTTCTGATCGTGAATAACAAGAATAGAAACAATGGTTTACTAGTTCTCATTTCTTTATCCTTTATTTAAATAAATGGGAAGTAATGTTGAAATTTTGACACATTCCTTACAATAGTTTCTACAGATTATTACCAGAAAATTAAACAAATGAAAATGAACATGTTAACACCAATATTACTTATTTACCAGAAGAATTGACAAATAAAATGTTCTTAGCCTACTTCAACTACTACATCTATAAGGTTGCCGACGTTTAGTATAACTCGACCTAAAGGTATTATTCAAGGAGCCCCCCCCCCCAAAAAAAAAAAAAATACAACCATACAGATTTTATCGTCCTGAAGCGGCCAGCTACATGTATCAGCCGTGCTGCAGTTGTTTGCCTAAGCACAAAACTTTACATAACATACATTTTATTTTTGAAACAGTTGTATGGGACGGTAAATGATAAACAAAACAGATTCTTAAACAATAATAATCACAATGTATAGCCTCAAGGTTGTGACCACCTAAGCGCTTGTTTAAGTCGGTGACATTTAATCTACAGATGAGAAACTTTCATTAACTGTTTGATATATAACATTAAGGGTCCAAATTCTTCACAGAATTATAGGTTTTGACAGCTACCATTTAGAGACCCCCATTTTCAACAAATGGGATGCAATTATCACTATTGTGTTTCTCATTCAAATTATAATCTCACAACTACATGTACAGTATACCTACATTTTGAACATCGCCTACATCTTTTAGGAACACGTAATTGTTAGTACGTCATAGGCTTGAAGCCATGCACTGCAACAAAATCCCACCTAGCTGGCCAACAGAAAGAGCCATGGTGTCGAGAAAGAACACACATTTTGGCCTTTTTCGGAAATGGTAAGTTGCGAGTTCCCCAAGCATTAATGGACCATATACTAGTATTTATATGACCTTAGTGGTATAGAACCCGACATATCTGCATGCTCATTCAATTCTGGGTGATGTTTTAAAGGCTAAGATTATTGGTTAAAAACAAGTGGTTGCTAGGAGTTCAACCAATCACGGAAATGACGCATGCGCAGACACTCCATATAACCAACATGCTCAGTCCTCATGGGCATAGTATTCAATGCTAGCTTCGTCGACCACCTGCGGCTTTGACATAGATTTCTTGACGGATCTGAACGTCCTTTCATAATCACTTGTGCTAGAAGTCATGGCATCACCGTCTATCTCTTCGTATTCAAATTGCCCTTTGTACTGCCTGTACTTTTGCAGTGCAGCAATGGCACCAAAGACGAATAAGTCTACGGCAAAGATGCCCCCGTTCACGTAAAACACGTCATCGTACGAGTGCCGGAGGTCGTAGATTAGACCTGGAATGTACACAGTGAACAAACTGATTTCTTGCTGATTTTGTATACAATAAAACTTTCTATTCCTGTTTATTTACTTCTTCGGCTTTCGAAATATCCGTAAAGTTAAGTATTCAAAAGCTCAGAACCTATGGAGATTCTTAGAACTCGGGATGCGAAATTCAAGATATACATGCAGAAAACATTGTACAGTTAATCTTAGTTGTATGGTATCTTAGACCCCATTTCCAGAGATTAGATCGATCTACTTTAGATCGACCTAACTCCCTGGGGGTTCACGCTAAATAGCTGTCGGCCGAGCGGACGCGAAAGTTAATTACCCCCTTACAGCTTGTAGTAGGCGGGACGGACATTTAAGCCGGATTATCTGACAGTAATCTAGTGAGACTCCCCGCGGGGATATATCGATCTAAAAGCTCTGGGAATACAGCCTTAGGTCTGCTGTAAATTGTTTAATGGAGGTCCCTCATAGACCTATATCTATCGACTTACCTGAGAAGAAAGGTCCTAATAAGATCCCAAATCCTGACCACATATTTGTTAACGCCCAAGCGACATCTAGCGATAGCCCTGTAACTTCACCGGATGCTGCATATGCATACACTATTGTCAACCCAAGAAAAACCCCCATTGCTGTAATAATAAAAGAGAAAAGTTTCTATAAGTTAAACCACTTGTCCGATATAATATCCATATACATGCAGTGTTATATAATTATTTAAAAAAACATTCTATATGTTAAACACTTGTCCGATATTATATACATAAACATGCAGTGTTATATATAGCTTATATTAATTCACAATATGGTATTTCATCCACATTCGATATACCCCAATCGACCTTCGATCTTAAAAATCCGTCAACAGTTTTCATAAAGGACCATTAGTGTATAATGGTATTTAAAAGATGATCTTCAATATACACCTACCGGAAGAAATCACCATTATTTCAGCGTAGCTGGCGTCCACAAAAGGCCACACTATACAAATGACGGCTAGTGCCAACGAAGCCAGTATATTTGAGAAGACTAATTTTCCTCTAAAGAACACCCCGACCAAGGAGGCCACCACGTAGCTAATGCATTCCCCTAGGCTCAGAACGGTCAAAGCCCAAGAGCTGTCTATTGCTTTGATACCCTTTAACTTCATGTAATACGGCTGGAATGCAAATTGAACAAAGGTTTTTTTTTATTGGCAATAAAGCATGGAACGGACACCATTTGAAAACGATCTCTTAATGACGTTCTTCTTTCAGTAATTTCTCCTAAATTCGATGAAAAGTGGCTGAAAATTTGCATTTAATTGTTTAGGTTAAAGTGGAAGTGGCTTATTGTTATAGATAGGTTTACCCGTCGTACAGAAAAGCAATTTAAACCAACTGCAGTCTTTAATATTGTGTCGTAAAAGTACAGGAGCAAATTTTTCAATCAATCAATTAATTTATTTCGAATGGTTACCACCATGTGATTAAGATAAACCATAATTATAACAGTTAACTTACTTCACCTAATTGAAAAAATCTGACACAAAGCCCCATGGTGGCAAAGATAGCAATAGATTTCATGCGCTCCAAAGTAATTTTCAATTGAGCTAAGAACATATTTGGATAGTATTTTTTAAAGAAAGAAAAATATGAAGTTGACAAAGAGCACTAAGGGAATAGTGAAGAAAATGCAATAAAGTTCATTTTAATGAAAAGCCCACGCCAATGATTCGTTCTCATGCCTTCGGGCTTTATCTACTCTATTTATGGCATAAAACGCGTCATATTTTTTATTAGACAATCTACATTATACTATGTATTTGGCACTTCATATCATAACGAAGCACACAGATTGGTCTTTTCTATTGACTGATGACAACTAATAACAACAGAAATCTGTTTCAATTCCTTATAATTGTGGTCAAACACTTTGCAACTAGAAGGGCAAAGGTGCTGAGGGATTCGTAAATGTCCTTGGTGTGTATCATCTCTCCACATGTAACATGGACAATGAATAGGCTTAGGTTATCTCGTTAAAAATCAGCCTATTCTATAAATCAACAAGTTGCTTATTGATTGTCTCACCCAGAGAGCCCTAACCCGCCTTTAGACCTTTGGGTGATGGTTTAAGGAGGATTTACGAAAAATCAATAATTGATTTGATACCCTTAGTTCTCCAGACAGAGATATATCTGCTACCAAAAAGCTTAAAGAACTGTGTTTAAAAAGGTTCAATGCCACCAATTGGCATGCTACTTAACTACAATTTTTATCGTTTTATTTACAAATGGGCGAATTTTGGAGGTATTGGCTAATAGACGGTAAACTTGGAGATTATTTATTATTGTCATGATGACTGTAGTAAAATGCAGTCAGTTACGGCTCCAGAAACTGAAAACGATAATGTAATTATCACTCTTTGTTTTACTTTCTGGAGATTTACTTTAACTGAACCATTTCACCTGATGTAAATTTATGAATGAGCTTGAATCGTATTTATGGAAGCGCCTTCACAATGCAGCAACTGTTAGGAAACTGGCTGCATGCTTTCTTTGCACGCTCAAACTACATGTACAGTATGCATGTATCGCCAAATTCCTCTCGAAATAAATATGAATGAACCCAATAAATGATTAGAACGATATTAAAAAAACCGTCTGGTGCGTTGAGAGATAGTTATGCCAACTATTGGCAGATTTAAATCATTGTTATTGTACTCACCAAATTCAAAAACGGCATATAAAACCCCAAGTAACTCAACGTATTTCCAAAGAGCCAAAGTAGAATCTCTGGCCTTTGTTTTAGAACTACGCAAGAACCAAAACAACTGCGCAGAGACAGGTCTTTTGTCTTCTCTTCGTTATCCAAGTCGAAGTAGGCCGGAGTTTTCCGAGGAGCAAATGTAGCTACACAGCAGACGCCAGCAATGAAGATCATCCCAGACGCAGCCCTGAACGCCACTCTCCAACCGTAACTGTTTACCAACCAGGCGTTTATAGGATTGAAAACAAGACTCCCTAAATTCAAAATACAAGAAACCGTTAGCCAAAAAGAAAAAAATATAACTCCCTTTTAACTATATGTAAGTTAATATATGTTGATATGACAAGATGATAATTTATTAATCAAATCGGCACTTGGCGTCACATTACAGAAATCACGATGATGTCCAAGTGACACATATACCTTTAATCAAAGGAACACTAAGCAATTAACACCGAAAACCTTTTTATGCAGTCGAAAGGACGTGCATTTACTCAATTCAACACGCACAAAGGACATCTCTCATCGGCGTTTTGGCTTCAACAATTAAAAACCATTCAGAAATCCTTACGCTTCGGTTATCAAACCCAATGGAATGTGCGCTAAGCATTACTACAGTTGTTCAGCCCTGACATGAAAGTGCCATTTAATCTTTAACGCGCGTTTCTCCCACTTTCGCCGCCTTTATCAACCGATGCCAAGATCGATGTTTAATGTCCTCTTACCGACGGGGTAGCCGCATAACAAAATACTGGTGGCCAGGACATGCTGCGGGTGGTCCTTGTCGAAGTAATCGCCAATAATCAGCGAGGAGGCCATGTAGATGAAACTAGAACCTATGCCGTACAGCAGACTGTGGGTCAGGAACATCCACTCCAACGAGGTGACCAGGGACGAGGCTATACAGCTGACGGTCAGAATTATCACTCCCAGGAGACCCACAATCCGGAACCCGTGAGGTCCGACCACGCGTATCAAAGCGACGGAGACGGGGGAGAAGGACAGCGAGACGCAGAATGACAGCGTCCCCACCCAGTCTGTAATGAAACAGAGACATAATTTGTTTACTTTCTACGCGTGTGTATGTGTGCGTGTGTCAAAGGGTGTTCTAATACATAAAACGTGATAAATTGATTCGCTTCAATTGGCCAGAAAAGTGTTGTCAGTTCGCATCCTGATAATTTTTCGATTGTCAGTCCACGCATGTGTATAGATCATAACATGTTGCATTATGTAGCATGAATCATATGACACCTTTAAGTTTCTTATTCGTATTAATTGCCATTGTGTTTTGAATCTTTTGAATTTTTTCAAATTTGATATTCTGCAGGTGTTGCATATCGTATGCAACGCGGGTAGGCTTTGACACATAAACAACTTTTGAACATTTGAAACTACAACGTCAGGAAAAAGTGTGCCCGTTTTAATCTTTAATACAATACCAATTGACTCGGTTAACAAAAAAAGTTGGTTTGTCTAGCCTTGCCATTATCCATACCCTAAGCAGATTGTTATCAGGCGCAGGTATTTAAACTATACCAAATATCTGCTAGGAAGGGACACATGCATGTCCATGTACAGTGAATAACGTGGCATACATACCCCATGACCCAATTTGCACCCTAGCGCCCTAAAATGACACTGAATTTGTTTCTGCCAATTAAAGTATGTATAGGGAAAAATCAAACAGGACTGCGAAACAGTCAGCTTCGATTGTGTTAACAAAGATCAATGACATTTGCACTACCTTTGAGTAACAATTTCTATTCTATACTAACGGCGAGCGAATCTAGGTCCTTTGTAGCAGGCAGATGCTGAGATTATTATGTCGCTTTGATCGCTGCTAGTGTAAATTGCAATGGGACTGTTCGTTGTGAGACACGTAAGAGCAGTTCACAGAAGGTAACTGAAAAGTCAGACGAACCTTTGTTGATGAATTAGAGGTAATGACAGTGCCACAATAGTGTCATATCCTCTACAGGGAATGGGGAAGGTTGCTGTTTTGCATAAACGAAGGACAGTATCTTGCCTTCATTTCTTACCGTGCCTTTCTTTATATATTACCACGAAAACCGTACTTAAGATGTGCACAGGTATTTTGACCCTGTTCAAAACGGAAAGCCTTTCAATTAAATAGATATGATATATCATATTTTTTATACTGATTGCATAAATCATCAGCCTTCAAATGTTATTACTTCTGCATTTCAAAGCACTGAATTGCTCTGCTAATCACAGATGGCACATGCATTCATTGTGATTATGAATAATTAAGTTTCCATGTCGCTAATTTATTAATTACGAAACCGCGACAAAACAGGAAAAATACCATTTTTCCTTTTCGTCACTTACGACAAGTGACCTCCCTGATAAAGTACTTAACATGGATTAGGCTCTTCAATTGAACGTTTGATTAATGACGACATGGTGTATCGTTAATAAAGCACACACAGAACTGGTCTTTTAAGTCTGCAGCTTCAAAGTCGGTTCTCGTTTGATACAGTCTGTATGGATTTAAACGAAACAAAAGGCACAGTAGACCGTAAAATAGATGTTAGAGTATCTAGTTTCTTTCCAAACAGTTTTAAAAAATGTTTTTCTGTGGTATCTCCACCACACACTTTTTATTAATTGTATGGACCAGATGAGGTAAAAAAAAAAATCAGTGTCGGAAGAGAATGGTGCCACAGTCTGTATAAAGGTTCACGAGGTGGGACATTTCATCTGACAAACCCACGTTTTGAACTGAAAATCTTTTTCTGCACATTGCGGCGGAAACTCCGAAAGCATACTGTCACATCCAAAAAGTTTAAACATTTAGCAACATGCTTGATAAAATAGTGATGATATTGAAAATGATATTTGAAATTAAAGAGCCAAAAGATCATGTGGATGTAAAAAAAGATTGCAAGGATAGTAATAAACTAAAATAATCATAATAAAAAAGATACAAATGCAAATCAAACAGACACCCACTCTGTTCTGCCAAAGATCTGTGGTAGTCATTGGTGAGCTTGACGACAAAGACGCCGAAGCTGTAAGTAATCCCACTTCTGATGACGGTCACGATGAGCACGGCGAAGCAAATCAGCCACCCTTGGACGTTCGGGGACAGCGTTGGGCGGGGTAGACGATCTCGAAGCTGGGATAATTGAGACAGCATACTAAAAAATAAAAAAAAGATGTCCCAGAGATTTTGTTGTTGATTTTGTCAGTTCAGTAGAGCAAAGATTGGATAGCTTGAATAAAATAATTATAAAGCAATATGCATTATATAGTGTATATAGATCTGTCTAGATAGAAAACATCTGAAAACAGTCAATGACATAAATGCCAAGACCTTAGTAAAATCCGTTACCTTTGATTAACAATATGCTTAATAAAGACTTTTTTCCAAAATTGAAACAACATGATATGCCAACTCTGAAAGCTGAACCTTGGTCAGTGTGACTGAGTTTATTAGTCACTTAATCATCTTAAGGTAGATCGGTCGTTACATGTTCCAACGTTCGAATTTTTTTTTTTTTTAATTTTGTTTGAAGAGACACCCAAGTACATTAAAAATTTGCAAAAAAAATTGGGGGTTACCGAGCAAATAAGAGAACTAGGCCCAAATATGATACACCCTGCATATCGCACTAGTCCCCATTCAAATCAATGGGAAAATGGGTGTTTTTTCACTAAAACATTATTTTTTATGACTTTCTGACGTTCGAATTTTTTTAAAAAAATTTTTGTGTAAAGAGGCCTCCAAGTACATTTAAATTTTGCCAAAAAAAATGGGGGTCACCGACCAAATAAGAGAACTACGCCAACTTGAAGTGCATTACACCCTGCGTGACGCACTAGTCCCCATTCAAACCAATGGGAAAATGGGTGCTTTTCACCAAAACGTTATTTTTAATGATTTTTCTAACGTTTGAATTAAAAAAAAAAACGTTTTGTGTAAAGAGGCATCCAAGTAGATTTAAATTTTGCCAAAAAAATTGGGGGTCGCCGACCAAATAAGAGAACTACGCAAAGTTGAAGTGCTTAACACCCTGTGTGACGCACTAGTCGGAAGTCCCCATTCAAATCAATGGGGAAATGGGTGTTTTTGCACTAAATCGTTTTTTTTTCTTTTTTTTTTTTCTTTTTTTCTTTTTCTTTTTGTGTGTGTGTGTGTGTGTGTGGAGAGACATCTAAGTACATTAAAAACTTTCATTACGTTTAACAGTTGAAGTGAGTATACTCAGCTATTTTCAGATTTGTCATACTGATGCGAAAGTGTAAGCCATTAACTTCACAACAAAATTATTGAAGAGAGTAATAAGGGAAATGCTCATGCATATGAAAATAGTTTATTGCCGTTGTTATTTATTTATGAACATAAAATTACGTGACATCGTAAACACTGTGTTGTCAAGTAAAATGAATCGTCTGATACAAAGTATCAAATGCGGCATTCACGTGCTTCCTTGCGGTGCGTTCAGTACACTTTGTTTACACTGACACTGACAAGTCGAGGTCAGAAGTGCACAATTTTTTCTGTATATTATAACGTAGTTTCAATTTTGATTAGTGAATTTTCTTCAAGCTGTATGGCCATTTTCTGAACATTTGTATAAGTTACGAAATATTGCTCAGTCCAAATTTCTCTTAGTCCAAATGAGTGGCGTTACGACGCACTTCCGGTTTTCGTCGAAATCTAAGCTGCGGTATGCAGCACATTCAGGGCGTTCTACCTCAAAATGTACGCAGCCGATTTGACTGGAATTTACAACACTTATTCTTTACATGATATAGCACCTATGTGCATAATTTGTGAGCTTTAGCTGTCATACTTTTTCTAGTGCCAATATGCTATTCCGACGATTTCTTGAAGGGCAAGTCTATGAACGTGCTACAGTCGTCGCATGGAATCATAGTCGACAAATGTTGTCGAAAATCTGTATCGATCATACAGAGTTACAGACAAGTTGATAATGTGTGTTTATCTTATAGATAATTGTTTTATTTCCTCAAATTGATAAACCAGACTGAAGTGTCGTTAGAGACGATTGACGATGCGCTGAAATTGCGCAAATCGTCAAATTACGTAACGACCGATCTACCTTAAGCAATGCCACTAAGATTTTTATGTTGCATTCGTGTGACTAATCAGCTGGCCATCTTGAATAATGAACTTACTGTGTCCAAGATACCTATACACTTTAAATAACCTTTGTCACTAAATGAACCAGAAACTAAATTGCTTGACCTACGTCGGTCTTAGGGAGGCAGAAAGTCTTTGCCAGTTGTCAAATTTATTGCCGAATAGCCATTTGGTCCATCTATTATACAGTTTTGTTTTTTTTTTGTAAGGGGGATCTAAAAATGCAAACAGATTTAAACGATCACTTCTTTAGATAGGTTACAAGCACGCACTGATGCTAGAATGTACACGCTGATACTACTTGAAATCAACATTAAATGCCCCAAGCTACAAGGCAGTGAAGTTGGTGTTTCTAATAGAAACTGGTGTTTCTAAATGAGAGCTGTCTTAAATGATAAATATGCCGCGCTTTAGAATAAAACGTTTGCCCTAGCTTTATATTGATGTCATTTAAATGGGCGAAATGGGATTTAAATTTTTATTTTAGAGTATGCATCTTACTATCTATCTATCTATTAAGTTTTTTGTCTTTGGAGATATAACAGTTACAACAGACATAAAAAGTAAGGACGTTGCCGTCTCGTACCTCTCCCTCTGGGATTTCAGCCGGTGTTGACAATACTCAGTCATGTTTGGNATAAAACGTTTGCCCTAGCTTTATATTGATGTCATTTAAATGGGCGAAATGGGATTTAAATTTTTATTTTAGAGTATGCATCTTACTATCTATCTATCTATTAAGTTTTTTGTCTTTGGAGATATAACAGTTACAACAGACATAAAAAGTAAGGACGTTGCCGTCTCGTACCTCTCCCTCTGGGATTTCAGCCGGTGTTGACAATACTCAGTCATGTTTGGCAGAGAAGATGATCTGCACAGTATTTTCCATCCACCTATCTATCTATCTATCTATCTATCTATGATTATACAATGCACATTCCCTTATAATTGAACAACAGGCTCTTCAGACATCTAAGCCAGTATTATGTTCAGTAAGACAGGGAGTTAACCTTTAACCTCTAGCTAAAAAACGGAGAAGTATCATTTAAATATATTTGTATAAAAATTGGAAAGTGCCTGGCGCCAGAATTTCAACATCGGCTCCTGGGCTAATCGATTACTCGGAAAACAAAAAATGAATGAATCACATGCCAATTGCACTGGGCAACAAAAATAATTTGCTGTTACAATTAGTACTTGATTTCATGGGATAATTTTCAAATCAAAAATCCAGCCAGAGAATGGGAAAAAGTGACCTTAAGGGTGAAAGTAATAGCGTGGCGGACCTTGGAATATTGCGCAGACGGCAAGTTAATCACGGTTGACATTTACAACTTTAATCTTTGTACAATCCTATAACTCATAGTTATGCATGACTCCCGCTGGAGATTAGAAACGTAGGTAGTTTGTTCCAAGAAAGAAAGAAATAAAAAAAGTTGCTGGCATTACCCGATCTCTAATTAAGGTATAAAGAGACCTAGCATAACACTAAAAGGCAAAATATCTTGCTTCATGTTAGTAGACTCTCTCTTCTGCTCTAAGCATATCATTTTAAGTCTGAAAGATAAGAGTCGATGAAAGTTAGTGATGAAGGTAATACATGTAAATACAAACACATGGCCCTTTTTAAATAACTGAAATTTTTAATTGCTCAAGTTTCAGGTTTTTTTTAAATTGTATTTATTGAAGACAAATGTACCATGGCTGAACACATAATTGCAAATTGCAAAACAGTCTTTTTTCGCCTTCGGAGAGTTTCTGTCAATTTTTAACTGAAACAACCTAAGAGGCCGATTCATGCACTGGTAACCTCTCCAACTGGCAGGTGCACAGTCTACTCCTTGTATTTCAAAGTGCCATGTTAGAAATAAAGTCCAGTTTTACCAAAATTAATGTATATATATTTTGCAAAACAAATAAGTAAGAACACATTACAGCAATTCTTTGCCATCGGGCCATTCAGAATTGATGATCCGAGTACTAACTGATCCGCCGACTAAATATGACCGACCCCACTTCAAAAGTGATGCCGCTAATTCCATGATGGTCTCCACGCCTCCACACGCACCGTCGCTGCAGGGGTCTAGCAATTTAACCTCGAAGTCGAGTTTTAATCCGTCTTATGGCGCGTGTGGAGGCGGGGAGACCATCGGAAATCGGCGGCATCGCTTTTGAAGTAGGGTCAGCCATACTTTATCGGCGGATCAGATTGTACTGGGATCATCTATTCTAAATGGCCCCATTTGTATTGGCTATTTGTTTGACAAAGGACACTTTTGACAATTTATTGTTAAATTTTAGATCTAATTAAGAAAAGTTTCTATGCAAATAAGTCCAAAAAGTACAAACTAAAGGATCTTGAAATGACATTCAGCTGAAGAAACAGGATACGAAACATACCCTAAAAATGTGACTTAAATACATTGAACTTCTACATACAGACTTATATAGACACGCTAAAATTTTAAATTTACCTTTACTAGATATTTAATCAATAAATAATAAATTTTGTTGTCTTATTGTGGCATGCAGTAATCAGACATACTAGAAAAAAGACATACTAAAAAACTTTTTACGACTATTGTCATTTTGTCCTTTTTCAGATTAACATATCGAACATATAAAAATTCTGCTCTTTTAAATCTCAGTGTTTCTACGTATATTGTATATTATGATTAAAAATAAAAACAAAAGATTACAATAAAAATATCAAATATTATTCCACAAACAAAAAACAAGAACTGAGTATAATTAACACGTTTTGTATGATAATATCGATTAATTGTTGGACAATTTTGAAAGGTACTCTGTGTACAAAACAATCATAAACGCGATATATGTTTCCAAAAGCAGTGAAAACAAAGTGCGTATGCAAGGCTACTTTTTGTCTTAAACGGATTTCGCGCGTTTTGTGAAGCCTACAAAGTTCAATAAACGTCACGTTTTCACTATATGAAATTCTGCCCACAAGGTGGAAAGGCATTGTCATTATGAGCCTCCTTTTGCATGATCCAGTAGTGCACTTCTTTA